TTTTTTTTTTTTTTTTTTTTTTTTTTTTGTAGCCAATTTCATTAGAAAAGTACATCCAGGATTTTGTTCAACAAGAAGTTTCAATCAGGATTTTGTTCATCCAGAAGATTTGACAGAGCCATAACCATGCCGATTTCACGATTTTCCGTAGCCGATTTGTAGAAGATTTCTTGGATTTTCTGTAGCCTTAATTTGGGATAAAGCTTCAGGATTTCAGGATTCGCAAGGTTCTCAGATCTTGCCCACGGACAGCAGCCCTCAGCCCACTTGCTTCTAAACAATTTCCCATTTGGCCGACTGGCCCATTTCAATCACGTGCTTGAATCCCACTTGGACAAAAGCTTCAATTATAGGAGAAACGATCTAGCTTTAATCATATTCACATACTAAGACCACTTGGTCCACTTGGACAACAACTTTCTTTGCTTTGCTCCTTAAGAGATTCCAGACTAAGACCCATCGGTTTCATCTTTTTGCTTAAACCCTCATCATGTTAGAAGAATCAATTTTTCCATCACTAGTACAGGAAGTTTTTATAGGCCAAAAGAAAGGTGATCTGGAACCCATTCAATTATCATATCGACTCAATGGAAAAAACTTTCCTTAAGGATTAGAGGGCAAGAATTTTTTGGGTTTTTAGGTGGGTCAGGATAGGGAGCTATGGTCTCATTTGCAACTCATAGATGTTACTATTTCCTCCTTTGAAACCATGTTAGGTCTCAATATTAACCGGGAAAATAAATTGTGATCTTGGCCAGGTGGGAAGGTGGGTTGTGAAACAGGCTTTTTCCTTCCATCCATCCATCTCCGTTTGAAGACCCTTTGTGTAAACTTTCATTTGTTCACTGTTGAGTGGTGTTCCTATCTATTTTTTCCTCTTTAGGGATTTTTGTTCTACTTTTAAATCCTTATAAAAGCTTATGAGAGATTTTTTGTGGGAAGGGATCGATGAAGGGAGGCATGCACATTTGGTGATTTGGGATATTATGGAGAAGTCGGTGAATCTTGGGGGTGCTAGAGTTAGAAAATGTAAGGACCCTTAATAAAGCCCCATAGGCTAAATGGCTTTGGTGGTTCTTTGTTGATTCTAATGCCTTTACCATTAGATTATTGAGTAAATATGGTCTCCATCATGTTTTCCTCTTAGACATAATATAAAAGCCATCTCCTTTTGAGACTCTGTTGTGTGGTGACATTCATTCGTTTAGTGGTGAGTGGTATTCCTATCTATTCCCCCCCCCCCCCCCCCCCCCCCCCCCCCCCCC